GCAGGGCGGGAGCGAGAGGCCGCCGGAGCGGCGATGGCCAGGCCAACCATCCTGCCCACGAGCGTCAGGGCGACCGCACCCGAGGCCTTCATGGTGCTCCACCTGAGGATGCGGGTGGTGGAAGAGCAAACCAGCGCACTGGTGCGAGACCTGGAGGCGCTTGGCATCGACGGGCAGAGGTAGGGAGAAAGCAAGGGTAAGGCTTTTACTTCTTGGGGAGAGCTTACGCTTGTCTTGATTTTCCTCATCTTGTTCCTTTTTGCACCCACGTGCCACGCTTTGCTCTTCTCTCCCTGAGGGAGCGAGAAGGGGCTACAGTAACCTGGGGTCACGGGAAACGTTCCAGCTCTACGAAACATGGTTTGTCATCTAATCGCATCTGTAATGCATGTGTGCAATGTCAGGCAGGTATGCATACACAGAGTAGGTCAGTCTTTTCTCTCTTTCAGCCTCGATCATTTCCACTCAAAGACCTCAGGAACACCTGCTAGTCACCCAGCCATTAGCCCTGTGCAGGCCAGAGTAGCATTTGTGGGAGAAAATACATTATGGAAAAACTGTGAAACACTGGTGAATCGAATGTGTCGGTTAGAGAGCGTTGTGCAGACACTGAAACTAAACATCTTCCGGCTGCAGACAGAAAAGGAACTGAATCCAAAGTATGCAGGTAGTAAAAAAAGGGGGTTTTACCACTTCGTTCTTCATTGTCCCTCCATATGCTTTTTCTGTCAATGAAAGTTTTTTGCCTTTTCCTTGTGGCAGCCCAGTTGGAGCAGCGCCTGAATGCAATCCACAAGGAACATTTGCAAGAAATGAAGATTGTACAGCAAGAAGCCATGAAATTGCGCCAACACCTCCATGATATGAAAGAGGCTGAAGAAAAGGCAAAAGAAGTTGTTCAGAGACTGAGTACTGCTCTGGAGATTACAACTGCATCCAAGGTACAAAAGATTATGATCTTACAGTTTTAAGTATCACAGACTTGTATCTAAGTACGTTCATCTCTGACATAGTTAAACAGAATGCATACTTAGCTGGAAAAAGAAGTTCGTGATATATTGTTGGCAGTAAGAGCAAAGACTTTTGATAATGAGAATCTGTGCTTCCGTCGATTAAAAAAAAATTACATAGCGAATCAAGAATAAAAACTTCATGGCTTAAGTTCATCCTAGCTTTAACACGCAGAGTTCTCAATAGCTTTTCTGGTTTTCCAGGAACTTACATTTCTCTGGTATTTCAGTCTTACATTTCTGTTACTGTCTCCCCTGAGGAGAACTTCAATGGAGTACATCACTCAATTTCATTAACTGTATTAAAGAATGTGTTGCTTCTTAGTGCTTGCACTCTGATATTCAGTGCTTCAGAACAGAGAACATCAGACTGGAGACAGAAATCAAGTTCTAGGTGTTAGCATGGCAGTTGCATTGTATAATACCTATTGCTTTTGCAATAGTTATGAACATGAAAGGATAAAAATATCTGTTCCTTTCATCTTCTTTAGGTGGATGTAGTGATTGCAGCAGAGGAACTGAGAAACACAAACCAAAAAATGAACTGTAGACTTCAGGAGGTAAGTACAAGAGCAAGGAGCTTAGTAGGAGGCTGAATTTGCCAAGTATTATTTAAAGATTTGAAGAAGATGATCCTTGAATAATATTCTGGGTGCAATTTTGCAATGTGTATAACCCAAAAGGAACCTGCCAGCCATGCTCATAGCAGAATACCCAGACAGAACATCTTTCATGTATGATCTTGAAGTATTTGTTCAATCTATTTAATTAGACCTGGGTCAGAAAGTGTTTTTTTTTTCTAGCTAACAGAACAGCTGTCCCAGGAGATCAGCCTACGGGAGTCTTTGGAGGAATCCCAAGCAACTGTGATGTGTCACGTACAGGACATGGAAATAACAGTAGAAACAGAACGGAAGCAGGTTTGAGAAACTTTCAGTCGTCTTTTGTATCTGTTTTCATTTTCTCGTCTGTGAGGAAGAGCAAGAACTTGGATGTTATTCCTAGAAACCAGTTAAAACACTTTATAGCTACACATTTTGTACAAACGTTGATCAGAAGAGATCATATAGTCAAAATTCCTGCTCACAGGAGTATCACAAACACTGGATTGGCACAGTGGTGGATTTGTCTAGCAGAGTTCAAGGACTGTGATCCCATGGCTGCTTTAGGTATTTTTTGTAGTGCTACAGTAATGTTCCCGTTAAGATTATTATTTTTTTTTTATAGCATCCCATCTGAATGTTCCAGGCTTAAATTTGGGACCTTTGCCCCTTCTTAAATGATTCGATGCAACTGAAAAGTGTTTGGCTTCGTAATCTTTGTAGCTACCTCTCAGATTTGAGGGCCATAACTGGATCCTGCCCTAACCTCTTCTTCACCAGGCTAAACAAGCCTCTTTATAATTAAGGTACTGATAAATAGATAGAAATAGATAAAAAATGCAACTTCTGAAAAATACTCTGTTGAGATCTTAAACCTTCTGGTAATAAGAATGTTTTCTCCATTAATTGCCATGATGACAAAGCTAGATTTTTGTTCTCAGCTGTATTTGTATTATCTAGCTCTTTTGGAGCGTGGGGAGCGGCCAGAGTTCATGGTAGAAATTAAGTGGCTTACACATAATTCAAATAAACAAAACCAATCCCCCTCTCTCTATGCGTACACACACACAAGCCACATGCAGTCACTCTAACACTTCTGAATTCATAGCAACAGTCTAGTAAGGGTAAAAGAAAGTGAATAGCAAAGTGTCAAAACTTGAATAACTAAGGGGTTTTTTTCAATTTTTTGATTATCATCAAGGTCTGTCTGTTTCCGAAACATACAAAGATCTGTTAGAAATTATTAGATTTTTTCCTGTGTGCCTTTTATCATCTTCGAGTTCTTCTACAGCAGAAGTGGAAAAATGATGGATACATTATTGAGCTATATTAATTATACATCATGTCAGAAGCAAAGGCTTAGTTTAATTAATCTATCACTTTCTGATGGGTATAGTTGACCCTGTGATATATTTATTAGTTAGTGTTAAAACAAAGAAAATTCCTCACAAAATAACATGAGACAGGCTTGTTAAGTGCCTTGAAGTGTGGTATTCGCCTTCATCTTTTATAGCTTGATCTCTTCTGTAATCTGTCATTGTGCAAACTTGTTAAATTCTGCCTGTCATATAAAGGTGATTCTAAGCACACGTACACTGCATCACGTATAGAAATTAAGTTGCTTGCCATGAAGGTCTTCTGCATAAGATTGGGACAAGCCTAAAGAAAGGAGAAGCTGATCAGGCTACATCTTTTCCAGTTAGATCAACTTTTAAGGCTCTGAAATTTGCTTACGTTTGCCTGACTGAATTCTGCATCTTAAAGAATAGTCTGTGGTATCATTGCAGGTACAGATATTACGGCAGGACTGCCAAGAATTGCATAAAGATGTCCAGCTAGCCCGAGTGAGGCTGCAAGAAGGGAAGGAAAGAACTGCCCAACTGGAGCAACAGTGCACACAACTGAAAGCTGAGCTGGGTATGACAGGGGATTCTTGTCTTATCTTTTTAGCCCTTCTATCACTGCTTCCACAGTGAGAGGAAAAAAGCACTGAGGTCCTCCAGACCTGTGGCAGGTGCATCAGTCAACGGGAATGGAAGGCAGTTTAAGAGGTGATGAAATATTAAAGGCCTTTAGTTTGCATGTGAAATTTCTAAAGCATCTTCTTACGTGGAGGAAACTGACAACAGCAGTAATCAGGGTAGTGAACACACAACTAATATGAAATTCCATCAGCATAAATTCTTTTCAGAGGAGGCTTCATCTAGCAAGTAACCATTAACACATGATTCCTGAACTGATGTGCAAGTAGAATGCCTGTTGCTATTTTGTCTTTTTGCAGCTGCTTAAAAAAAATATGCTCTATTAAATATCAGTATAAGGGCAGGCATCTTGGATAAGCTTCTAGTTGATCTCACTTAGATTCCCAGTTTATTGATGTGAAAGTAGCTGCTTATAAGGGAGCTAGGTAGCATTTAATGCACTCCAGGGTAGGGTAGGGGGAAGCTTAATTTTAAAATTAAATAAATTACAATTAATTTATGGAATCAATTTTAAAAAGTAATTTTGCTGAAGTATTGAAGTTGTCAAGGAAAGCGTTAAAGAGCAACATATTTGTAGAAGTTTTACCTGTTTGTGGCATATTCAGTAACTCAAACATTATATCAAAATGTCACCTTTAAAAATTACCAAACAGATAACAAAACATGTCCTGACATTCCTTTCTATTTTTAGACTCCAGGAACTGTATAATTTCCCAGCTTGGTGATGAAGCAAAAGTAAGTTGTAAACAAGTATTGGTGAGAAAAATAGCTAAATAAAGATCAGAACAGCCTATATAGGGCCTTTCAAATATACCACACTTCAGAGACAGAGTTTTTATGTGAATAAATACCAAATGTGACCAAGGCTACTAACCATGGAATGTCTTATTTTATTATTTTACCGGTTTGGTGTTGGCCTACTTATTTTTTGAAAGGTTCATTGTCATATTCTACTGAAATATCAAAACAGTGATAGGAATGCCTTCCTTGGAAAGCTAGAACTGACCACGAAACACAGTTGTGGTAGCACAAGTATTGCATACAAAGGAGACAAATAGATGGATGGGTGATTAATACTACAGAAGAATCAGAACCTTGGTCAACTGGGTACTACATGGACGAAGAGGTATGCTTACTGCATATGTAGGGACTGTGTGTGCTGTCTGAAGTCTTCTTGGAAAGAGTAAGTTTCAGTAAAGATGAGGTAAAAGTTTAGCTTAGACATGTAGTGTCACAGTGCTGGCAAAGGACTCCTTCAGTTGTGAATTGTACCACTTCTGGCAGGGAGATCTTTTAAGTTTAGAAGTACAGAGATTAATTATGGTGGGGACTAATAAGTTTGAGCTCAGAAGGATATGAAGTCACCCTCAACTTTCAAAGCTAAGTTAGAGCAGGTAGCACTTTAGTTATTATTTCAAGGTATATTTCAGAAAGAGGCTTGTACTATAGGAACCATGTCTGGTGCCTGCAAGAGCACAGAGCCATGTGACAATAGTTTAAAGGATATAGGCAAGTATGAAACAAAGACTTGATATTTGTGAAGTGCCTGGCTAAATGACATTTAATTTTTTTCTCAGTGGATGTTCTGTCTTATTGCCCCTTAGGATGCCCAGCTGTCCTTTAGCAAACAATGCAAAGAGAACCTGCAACTTCAGACTAAAATGACAGCCCTTCAAGAAACAGCAGAGAAAGTACAGGTAATGAGAATAGCTACTCTTGTTTTTAAAAAGGAACTAGAGTATAACAAAACAAGTGGTTACAGTGAGAAATTACTATACATTCACTGGGAAGCCTCAAATGCATGTCATGAGGCAAAGTTTAGTGCCCTCAGGTAATGCAGGCTAATGAACAATTTCCAGTGAAGGAATTCAATCACTAGCCTAGGTAACTGTTCCAGATTTCCCAGCCTTAAAGCTGGGAAGTTTCTTCCCAATTCTTATTTTGAATCAGCTTTTTTTGAAAGTGTCTTCTTCAGGGGCCAGGACATGCAGAACTATTGCTGCTCCCTCTTCTATCTAGCCTTGTAGTAGTACATTTGTATTCCTTTGCACCTTTAGATTCTACATTAATATATTTATTAATAAAAAGTCAAATTTGGAATACCTGTGTGGCTAATTTTTCCTCTGCCTTTTGGGACAAAAGGTTGACCTCAGTACATTCTAAAAGATTTTATTCATTCTAAATTATTATACATTCACTGGGAAGCCTCAAATGCATGTCATGAGGCAAAGTTTAGTGCCCTCAGGTAATGCAGGCTAATGAACAATTTCCAGTGAAGGAATTCAATCACTAGCCTAGGTAACTGTTCCAGATTTCCCAGCCTTAAAGCTGGGAAGTTTCTTCCCAATTCTTATTTTGAATCAGCTTTTTTTGAAAGTGTCTTCTTCAGGGGCCAGGACATGCAGAACTATTGCTGCTCCCTCTTCTATCTAGCCTTGTAGTAGTACATTTGTATTCCTTTGCACCTTTAGATTCTACATTAATATATTTATTAATAAAGTCAAATTTGGAATACCTGCTTGGCTAAAATTTCCTCTGCCTTTTGGGACAAAAGGTTGACTTCAGTACATTCTAAAAGATTTTATTCATTCTACTTTCCCTCTTTTTCGAACATACTTTAGAAAACGTTTTCTTTTTTTTTACGCTCCCCCCAACAGTTACTTGTTTATTGGGCAGTATTCACTGGTATTTGGATATGTCTTTCACAGGAAGTTCCATTTTTCTTTGCTAATCTACAGTAATGCAATTATGAAATTAGTAGGGGTCCGTTTTTAATTTTAGCCTTTTTTGCCTTAGAAATGTTACTTTTTTCTGGACTTCAAAACTAATAAGTGATTATGCTTGATTGGTATTTTAAACTATGTTCTCTTTTTTTCCCCATTATTGGTAACTTTTGACACCTTGGAATAAGTGTACCATAAACTGGGACTACCTGAACAAATTTTTTGGACACTTTCTGCCTGAAATAGATTTTTCCATGTCTGCAAGATATTTTAAAAAAATTTCAGGCAGCCTACTATGCAGAAAAAAACCCCAAAACAAACCCTGGCAACATGTTTGTCATCCTCTTCCTCCTTCTATCAAACCAGGTCCTTAATGACCGGTTAAGCCAGCAATGCTCAGAGCTCAGCACCACACTCCAAAGTGTTGCCATGGAGAATGCTAAACTCATTTCAGATCATCAGACCATGCTTAAGGTATGTAGCCTACTATTACAGCCCAAGAAAGTTGTCTGCAGCCCAGACATTAGACAACAGACTAATTCCCAATACTGATAATCTGTGGGAATACAATAAAATACTTTACATATAGCAATGGAAGTTCTATAAAGGTGGTGATAAAAAAAAGTTAGTGTCCTTCTTTAGCAAAACTTTATTTTCAGTACAGAAAAAAGTCATGTTATGGGGAATGAGTGTAAATATGGCAATACTATTTATAGAAACAGACTGTAACAACCACTGAGAAAGAGGAACATAGGAATTAATGAGCATTATAAGTACTGTAAATGCAGAAGCTGGGTGGAAGTAATACGGAGCTGAGATTAAATACATATATAAAAGTGAGGTAAGGTGAACTCAGCTTTGACACCCTATTCAAGAAGCAGCACACCACAATATGCAGAACTGTAGGGATGAAGTAGGAGCTAGATGACAAATTAACAGCTTTGTAAATTAATTACTCGTCCCTCATCGTTCTGATTTAGTGTTATTGCCTGGGTAATTTTTCCCCTTTAGGCAGAACAAGAAAAGACTCATAAGCTGCAAGAGCAAGACTCGCTTACAAATGCTGCCTGTGCCAACATTCTTGGAGAGCTGCAGAGCGTGCAGCGTGAGAGGGTTCAGCTTCAAAGAGAGCTGTGAGGAGTTTTCTGATCTGCAGCCTCTGTCTCCCCTTCCTCCCTTGCATGCTCACCCCTTCATTTCTGCTTCTCTAGCACTTGTTACTTATTAACACAGAAGGGCCAGTTTGGTATTTAATATGGAGGCCATCTTCTGTCTTTCTATTGTGCTAGAACTCCGGCTTGGCTATTTCGTTTTTCTTTAGGGAGGCCTTGCGTACAGAGCATGGCAAATACAGGCAGAAAGTGAGCCTTGCTGAGGAGGCAGCAACCATACAGAGACAGCTTTTGGAACGTAATATTGCTAGACTGCAAGGTGAACTTGAGACAGCTTTGCAAGAGAAAGGATCTCTGCTGGCAGAAAAGGAAGTTCTTCAACAGGAGGTACAGAAAACTTACTGTTTTAAAGCTATATTCTTGAAGGCTGCTTTCAGACCCACATCGCTAAAGTTCTTATTTACATACCAGCCAGTTCTGCTTTCAGAAAGATTATTTTTTGCTATTGCAGTGGCAAGTGTGACACACTCTCCCCTTTCCTATTATGCTTATATTTTGACTTGTAACATCTCCTCTCCGAAGCATGAAAAAGGGAGGGAAGACAGGGCAGCTCTGCAGATATTATTTCTGAACTTCGGAGTTGACTTGCAACCTTCAGATTAACTGTTCTGAAGATATGTAATATTTCTATGAATCTGGGCGTTTCTAGGTGACAATGATTTCACACTTCTTTTGACAGATAAAGACAACAGCAAGTGAAACAATACAGGAAAGGAACAAATTTGAAGTAGAAAAAACAGTGAATGAGGTATCTTGCAAAATATATGGCTGTTTCTTAAATTTAGTGTTGCCTTTCTCTAGATTTTCCTTTTATTTTGCTCACTCTGTCTTAACTAAATTATTTCTAAATAATGTTATGTTTACCATAGCCTTATTGTTCACTTCGCTGTTTGATATTTTTCTTGTCTATATGGATGTGTCCTTTGGAGCAGCAACACTACACAAGGCCCTGTTTGTAGTAATAAGTTTTTTACGCTGCTATGGCAAATAAATAATTTTCAGCTTCTCCTACCTGTTTTACCTGTGTAACTTCCTTGCACGTGTATAGGTCGGAAAAGGAAAGGTAACGTTTGTGATATAAATGAGAAATTCCTTAGTGTTGTGACTGAAGTCAGCGCAATTCTTTCACTGTTGCAGAATTTCTCTCTGAAACAGGAGAGACTACACCTAATCCATATGTAGTGCTGAAGTTTTGTGATATTCATGTATTGTGATTGTGGAAATCTTGAAGTGGTACGATTAGAGTTGCATTTTCTTGTTCATAGCTAGAAATGGTTTCAATGAGATTCACTGTGCAAACACTAGAGGAAGAGAACAAGAGGCTATTGGACCACTTGGCTGCACTGGTACATGAACAGGTAAGCCACCTGACTAATAAGTAACCATAGCAGGAATCAAGGTGCTCTTTGAAATAACCTGTATTTTATGTAAAGTGGCTGATCAAATGAAGGAATAAAAAGGGGAAAAAATTAAAACAGATGGATAAGATATCTCAAATGTTACTCCATCTTTTTAGATGTCTGTGTGGGATGAGCTAAGAGGACTATATAGAGCTTCAGGTATTGGACATTTAGGTATGTCATTAAAATCCTATGATTCCATTCCATTTTATAGTACAGGTATACAACTTGTGTATCTGTACATATATATTCAGCTTGTGCACATTGGGAAGGTATTAACAGTAGTTTTATGCCCTTTGTGAACAATTTGCACTTGGGACCTCATTCCCATTTTTAACTTGTTCCCATTCCATTATTTCTCACTGCTCTGACTCACCTGGATCAAGATACTTGACCAGTTCCAGAAAAGTTGAGTAAAAGCTTTGTAACACATGCTACCAGTGCTTTTACCATTGGGGTTTGTTTTTGTTTTTTTTTTTTTTTTACAGTGTTGGATGTAATGACCAGTTGTATATGTTGGAGTTCCTAAGAAACACTTAGCTACTGCTAAGGTCCTAACATCACGATGCTAAAGAAGAATTAACTAAAACACCTTTTGAATGTTTGTTATTTGATAATCAAAGTTACATTTCTACAGTAGTTAATCTGTAACACATGTGTATCTTTTTTCTGTTTAACACAGAAACCCTTTGGCAGTCATCAGTTAAGGAATATGAATCAATACAGCATTCAGAACCTTAAAGAGTTGTCTGATTTTTATTTTGTTTGTGTTCTTTACAAGAATATAAATATTCTTATTTTAATTCTGTCCATGCCTTCTCATTCTTCTAGTTATTTTTGCTTTGCTGTTCCCTGTTGTCAAAGGTTTCTTTCATCTCTCCATCTCTGTTGGGACAGCAGCCTTCTTGTGGTCATCTGGAAGGTTGTACCAATTTGAGCAGTTCTTCCTAGATACTAAGCTGTCTTGGAGGAATTTCTGCCATTTGGATATTTCTATATTTTTTAAAAACATTTTTTAGTGTTTCACCTGATTGAAAATTTATACCTGAAGCAACAGAGGAAAGTTAAAATACTCAGGGAAAAACTAGGCACTGAGCACCTTTTTGTGGCTTTTTGCCTTGTTTTTCCTACTGAATGGTGATGTCTGCTCTTTTTTCCTCAGTACGCCCAGCAGCAGGTGCAACAGCTGCTGGCAGAGCTGACTGAGAGCAAGAATAAACTGACCTGTGACAAAAGAAAACTTCAGGTACCTCTCAGCATCCTATTTGTCAGCTCAAAAGGGAAACTTTTTTTACATTCATCTAAGATAAGGTTGTTTAACCTTAGCTCTTCAGTGCTTAATTTGGAGGGAAATGCTTATTTATCTGCTCTACTTAATTTGTGCTGTTGATGTAGCATTTTTAGGATTTGTGATAAAGTTGCTTAATGTGTGAAAATAATAGAATGGCTAAGAACCACCAGGGGGCATTAAAACAAAATATATTAGTAGAAAATTGGCTGAAAGATTAGAAACATGGAAAACTTCATTAAAAATACAAATTAACAAGGAGGGAGGGGAACCATGGTGGTAAGCAAAAATAAACAGCATATGTAAGCATTTTTAGGATTTGTGATAAAGTTGCTTAATGTGTGAAAATAATAGAATGGCTAAGAACCACCAGGGGGCATTAAAACAAAATATATTAGTAGAAAATTGGCTGAAAGATTAGAAACATGGAAAACTTCATTAAAAATACAAATTAACAAGGAGGGAGGGGAACCATGGTGGTAAGCAAAAATAAACAGCATATGTAAGCTTTCTTAAGCAGAAGTTTAGCTAGATAGTAAATGAGGTGCTGAATGTAAAGTTTTTATTTCAATATGACTTACGTCATAGAATTTGGGACAGTGGTGCAAGATTCCTGAGTTTATTTTAAAAACAGCACAAAATGTGTAGTGATCATTAGAGTGAGAAAGCTACATTTATGCAATAGTCCTAGGTCTGATGGTAGTGACAGAAGGAAGTGACCAAGACATCGTACTTGGATTAAAACAAGGTGAATTCTAATCTAGAATTATTTCTATGGAAGGATACATTAGAGGCGATTCACTTGCTGCTTCTCCTACTATGGGACTCAGGGAAAAGAAAACATTTGCTCTGGGCAGAGACACATTGTCACATCACTCTGCTTCTGTGTTCCAGATAAGAGAGTGCTTTTCCATTCCTGCACTAAAAGGAAGCTGAGCTATCTTGCCACATCTGTTAAGACTGAAGTGCAGATCTGGAGGAAGAGCTGTAAATGCACACTTAGATAATAGTGAGCTTTGCAAATGCATTGCACAGAGACCAGATACACTCAGGTGAAACAGAACTTTGAGAATTTCCTGCCCCTCGGAATTAGGGTCAGACTAATTAATGCTTACATAGCCATTAGGAATCAGATTCAACACACTTTTTCCTGAAGAACAGAGCATACATTTAATGTTAACTGCAGCATCCTAGTCTGCAGCTGGAAACAGAACTTCATCTCATCAAAACAAGCACAAGAACTATGGAAGCTCAGCTTAACAGAGCTGTTTTTCCTACAAGTTGACTGCAAGTGATCAGGCTAGAAAATATGCCATTTACAGCATTATAAAGATACTCCTCAGGATTTGTTGTCATTTCCCAGTAAGAGAACAAATAGAATCATAGAATCATAGAATGTTTGGGGTTGGAAGGGACCCCTAGAGGTCATCTAGTCCAACCCCCCTGCAGTGAGCAGGGACACCGCTAACTAGATCAGGTTGCTCAGAGCCCCATCCAACCTGGCCTTGAATGTTTCCAGGGATGGGGCCTCCACTACCTCTCTGGGCAACCTGTTGCAGATAATAGCTGACTAGCTATATTGCTGGAAGGCAGGTAGTTATTTTGCTTCAGTCTGTTCGCTCAGTCTTAATAGACAGAAATACAGAGAAGAGGTTTGTTATCCTGGGCAGTGAAACCAAGCTTGTAGGTATAAGACTACAAAGGGGACTCTGCTCTATCATGAGTTTGCTATTCTAAGCTGGAAGTTCAAGTAACTGCATCTCTGAACAGTAAATGCTCTTTACATACTCCCCTTGCTTCTCAGATACTAAAGCAATCTTGTAATCATTTTGAGTTGGAAAATTAAAGAGGCAAAAGTGACAAACTCTCAATCATATCAGCAATCTCCAATCTAGACATTAGAAGATGTAACCATGTTAAGGACGCTTCCGTGGAAAACAGGAGGTCCTATTTTTGCCTTCTGTTTCCAGAAAGCAAAATGAATCAAAGTTTCTCTTGTACTTCACTCTCCATCATAGGCGATGGTCCATGAGATAGTCAAAGAAAGCTGGATATTATGTTATTGATTGGAATCCACAACCTGAATACTTTCAGATTTTGGGAAAGTTAAAACACTCAGTTCCACTGGTTTGCAGATACAGAGAACTAACTGTAGAAAAGTCTCACAGCGGGAGCTGACCGGGGGGTGCTCAGAACCAGGGGACTGTGCTGGTTCTGCAGAGCTGTGACAACAGTTAACATCACAGACTTCTAATGAAGCTCCAGTCAGCACTTGTGTCTCACTGCTGCTAAGATACAGAGAGAAATCACATTACTTTGGATAGTGTGCTGTGGAAAGTATCATGGAAGACAGCTTAAATATATTCCTGAAGTAACGCAGACTTAGGAATAAGATGTAGCATCTACTTCTGCTCCAGTGTTTGGGAGAGTATTCTTCCAATTTCTGGTTTCAGTATTCACATCTTCACTGCCTCCAAGGGCTGACTGATTTTGTGGTAGGAATGGCACCAAAAAGAAAAAATCCCCATCAAGGTCTTGGCAACAGAAGTCTACTGATTGTAATGCTAGGTCAGCTGCAGGCTCAAGAGAAGAAACTATGGAATCTGATTTATGTGCTTGTGCTCACTGCTCTACTTTACACTGAGTTAATTTTGAACACGATGAATGTTCAAGAAACTCTGTGTCTGAATATGGAGATTGTCCTAGGGTCAGCCAGAGTATACTGTTAAATGCTATAAAGAACATGAGAGAAGAACTGGAGAATATAATAGACATTTTCACTCCAAGATTATTGAAAACTGGATGCCTACTGGGATTAATGAAGAAGACTTTCATGGGGTGAGTGATGACCATGAATTGCAAGCTAGAGTGATGGCTAATTTCAATTGAATAATTGATGGCAATGAAGGAATGGCTGAAAATTAACAGGGACCAAAACCTCTGCATGTTTTTTTGTTTGAAAGAGATATGGATGAAAACTTAGGCTAAGCAGCATTAGAATCAACAACTGGTTTTGACTAAAACAAAACAGCCTCACGCATCTGTGGCACTTCCTGAAGCCTGGGTGCCAGGAGTTCAGAAGCATTGGAACTATCAGTTAAAACACCCACAAAAAGCCCCAAGAACACCACCACACACTCAGCTTGGGCTTAAACCAGGGGTAGAACAAAGGTTACGTAATTAGAGAAAGCTATTTCTGTTTTCAGAACTATTGCATACTCTAGGCTCTGCTGCAGGCATTCAGGTTACTTAGAAAAGAATCCTTTAATAAAACTCCCAATAGATGACTGATTTTCCAGCTCCTTTTCCTAATGGTTTCTTGTACTGCAGGTGGCAAACCTGCAGGACCAGCTGGATGCAGCAAAGGGGGATAACAGTAAGGCAACAGCCATGCTGGAGCATGTCTTAGCTTCTCATAACAAGATGCAAGCAGCTCTGGATGCAGTACAAGCTGAGCTGGGACACAAGGACACCGAAATCAGCAACCTCAGAAAAGACAAGTAAGCGAACCTAATACCGTTTCTGTGGTTTGTCAGCAGTGTGGTAAAGGCAGATACAGTTCAAGAGTGGCATCTTCACTGTGGTTCTGGCTAATAAGCTATAGGACAAGTTTGTTTGAAAAGTTTCCTGTATCCTTTCCTGCAACACTGAAACATACTTGGTACTAGTAAACCAAGTGCACCCAGTGCTTGTGGCTAACTCTGCAAGCTTGGCAGGCCTCGTCTGTCTTGTGGAAAGTATGTAAAAAACAGTGACAGGCAAAACTTAATATGGTTAAGGTAGAGAACCAAACTGTGATATGGTCACCACTTCAGAGGGGATGTGCACAAACTGACTTAATGCATGATTTTTTTAATCCAATTTCCATTTTCAGGAGCCAGACTCAACAGAAAATACAGAGGTTAGAAACAGAATTGGAACATTACCAAGCCAAACTGGTTGCCATGGGAAGGCAGCACAGCAGCCAGGTAGAGACCACATTTTTCTGTAGTAACAGCCACCAATGCATTTTTGGTGTTGAGCCAAGTACCTTTTCTGTTTTCTGAATACAGTATGGTGCAACACATTCACATGAATCAAGGCAAAAATATTTTATCAGCTTTTGGCTGTGGGGCAGGAAAATTGTTATCCATGTGTTGAAGGAGGCAAACATCTCCTCTCTAACAAAAAATTCCTTGGCACAGGTGAAGGTTTTACAGTCCGTAGCTGAATACATAATATAAACAGAGATTTTGGAAGTTTACATAGCATTTACTTTTTTCTTACAAGAATGGAGAGGACGAGTCCAAGGAATTGCTTTCATCTCTCCTCATAACATTTAGAGTCAAAAGCATTACCTCACAACCCAAACACACTATTGGCAAAGAACTTTTTTTTTTCCCCCCCAAGAAAGTCATGGCTGTATGATAAGTTGTTCTTACCCTTCTGATTAAGCCAGTCATTGGATTGTCATTGTAAGGATTCCCATCTAGATATCTACACTTGGGACACTTGTTATCAGACAGCTGGTGAACACACTGTTACTTCCTGTAAGTTGATACTGACAGGGAAGGAAAAAAAAAAAAAACACCTCCTTTCTAAGCTTTTTCATTGGGGTAAGTACAAACTGATTTGTTGTTACTGCACAGGTGGAACCACTTTGTAAGGCACTAGAAAGTGCTAGAACAGACAACAAGAAACTTGTTCTTCGTTTGGAAGAAGTTCTGCAGGTCAATAATACCCTGCAGAGCAAGCTGATCCAAACTCAGTATGAACTGAAAAGTAAAGAAACTGAGCATCAGCAGCTGATGGTCTGCAGGTAAGATCAGATCTATGATACTACACTTGAGAAGAAACATTATTTTGCACTATCATCAGAGCTTTATGGCTTTACTTATCTATCAGTATCAGGATTGACTGCATGCTGAGCCAGCAGCATGATAAAGATAGATTGATGCAAAGCTATAGAAATGGGCTCTTTCACTCATTCCCATAATGACTCTTGAACCTACTCTGCTCTACTGAGGAACTGCTTGCTCAGGGTCATTGTGGCATTCCTACAAACAGCTTTTCCCCAAGGACAGCAGATATCACTTCCACTTTGAAGTTGCCTGCAGTAGCTATAGCAAGGAGAGCACAGAATATCTGCTTAAATTCCCCACCCAAAACTGAGTGCTAGTAAGTAAAACCTCAAACCTAAGTGTAGGTGCAGTCTGAATCTCCTCATTATCCTTTGTCTAAACAGTCTTAGCCATTTAATTTTCTGAAGGAAAGTAGGTTGTCCTAAAGTGTTTTTTTCCAAAGTCTATTTACCATGTATAGCTATTTTGAACCTCCTTTTAAATAAATGGAATATGAAGTATTAGAAAACACATTCCAGTCTTTAAACAGTAGTGGTGCAGAGAGTGTATCCGAGACAAAAGTGTTTACAGTGGAATTGTCTTTCCTAATCCTGTGTTTAAAAAATAAAGCATATTAAATATAAAAGTGAATAACCGAATTTGTTTCTTCTCTTTAAAGGAAACAGTTAATGGAAAAAGCCAAGACTGAGGAAAAGATGTATGCTGAACACTTAGAGTCTTTGAGGAAGCAGTTTCAAACTGAACAACAGGCTTCCAGGAAAGCTGCCTGTCAAGAATCTGCTGAGGTGAGAAGGGATAGAATGAAAAGATTTCAGTGAGTGATTTCCATAGAAGGAGGTCTGCTTTACAATTTTCCAACAGAAGAAGAGCAGCTCATGACAAATATTTGTCTCCTTTGTCTCCAGTGACTTCAAAAGGATAATCTGGGATTGTATAGCGATCTCAGGGATCAAATACTCATTTGAAAGTCTGCTTCATTTCTTGGAGGCTGGATCATAAAGCTCAGCATAACCTTAGTATTACTGAGATCACAGCATTCACTTTTTTTCCATTTGTTAGAAAGGCATTAAAGAAAAGTCAAAACACCAGATTCTGCAGCATATTTCAGATATAGCAAATCAGTTGGGTGTGCTGCTTATTAATTGCTGTATAGAATGAACTAATTCTTATGGTTAACGTGAACTCACTTTTTCTTCTTTCCCCTAGGTAAAGAAATCTCTCGAAGAATCCTCCTTCAAACTGGCTGAAGTTTCCCGTGCTAACAAGGAGCTGCAGCAGAAAGTAATAGAGCTGGAAGAGTCATTGTCCAGTTACAAGGAAAAGCTAAAAAGCCAAAGAGCTCAAGTCAGACAATGCCTGGCCTGTAACACTAATGCAGAAAGGGTAAAGGTATGCACACATCTTTCAATCAAGACAGGTGTCCTAGTTGAGAACTTCTTTTTCCTCCTACTGAGTAGGACTGCTGTTGATCTTTTGCTAGTGGAGTTTTGAAAACAAAACTAACTCTGAACTCAAACTCTGACCATAAGATGAAGAGATCGACAGCAGCTGCAGTAATGGTGTGGCTTCTCCTGTCATCCATCCCCCCCCGCATATTAAATATCGTCCCATAGAGTCCCATCCCCCCCGTTAGATTTTTATAGTTGCATTTGTCCCCTTTGTCATTTTATGGATACAGTCTATTTAGTTAATGATTGGGCCAAACATTATTTGTGTATTGATTAGTCTCTTTACATCCATTTATAGCCATAGAACTTAACAGTTCAACTGGTACCTGATCCTAAATGAGAATCTAGACTCCTTTGCAACTCTGCCACCTGCTTGTTCCCCTTTCCCTGGTGGTACATGGGTTCTCTTTAACTTCAGTCTCATAGGGCAAGAAATAAGGACACAGTGTGCAGACATCTGCAGAAATAGTTCCCATGTAACAGCCAGTGAGCCTGAAAAATCCCTGAAGTTTTGTTTCTCTCTACAATTTCCAGGAGACTGAATCCAAACTGAGGAAAATGGAAGCAATAGAAGAAGAGTATCAGAAGAAGAATTATGAACAAGTGAGCTTTCTTGACCAGTTTCCTGAAGAGACTGACCTGCTAAATTGTTGTTGTAACTTCATTCTTGTGTTGTCTTCAGTCACAGGACATCCAGAAATTTGTGTCAGAGTTTAAAAGTGTGCAGAGTGAGATGCAAGTGTTGTTGAAAAACCAACATGAAGTGCAAGTGCAGAACAGTCAGCTGGAGACCCAGCTGGAAGCAGAGAGAAGGCAAAGGCAGCAGCTGGAAAACAAATGTCAGGTAAAGTGATAACAGCATGAAAAAATGGTGAGACACCAATGGAAGCATTTTTGTGCAAAATCTATGGAGTTGCAGAACAGGTGGTAGAAAGACTTTATGAACTCAGTCAAAAGATATTCCTGTAAATCTTACTGTGTTTGCTCCAGAAAGCCCAAGTAACAACTTAGCATACATTCACTATATATCTGACTTTAGAGAGAGATGGGATTTTTTAAATTATAGAACTCTAAACTATTTACAATAAAAATTGAAGCATCCTTCTGTTATATTACAATTTTTTATTTGTGCTATGAAAAAACTACATAGAAATTAACATTACTTCTTTTTCTACCTAGAAACTGGAAAAAACAGTCAAACATCTGAAGAAATATAAAGAGGAGACAGAAAAGAAACTGAAGGAAGCCAGCATGGAGTCAGAACAGGTGAGACTACTTAGCATTAGAATAATTACTCATTGAAAGTAACGAGAGTATTTCAGTATATGCACCAAGTAACCCTTTCAATCTCAGACATAGGTCTCTGGTGGGGAGTGAGATGCATCCTTGGCCTTTTCAACTAAGTGGCATTTATCATACTTTAAAAAAAAAATTAAAAGTTTTTTCTGTGAATCACTTCAATTTAGTGGGGCTTGTAAGAGCAGCTTTTGTCCCCCGCAGCCTATTGTTTTTCTGCTCTTGTGTCACTCTATCTGTGACATCATGCAAACCCATGTTTTCTACCCCCACCCCAAGAAGTCATTTGTCCTTGCATCACCACATCCTTGCACAACTGTACCACAATATCCAAATTATTATAGCTTGCGTAGATCACTCTAGTAGTTTGGGGTGAAAATCTAGGGGTTTAGATGCTTTATAGAGTGTTAACTAGCACAAAGTAAAATAAAACTAGTAATAGAGGTGCCCCAGCCTGAGGTCTTATATGCCACTTAAAAGTCCAAGTACTGTTCTGTGATTAGAGAGACCTTAATATTGAGAGCATTCTTCAGGCAAAGTTAGTCTTCTCTCATCTTTCACAGGAGTTTGTGGTACTCAGCACACATTTTTTCCCGCCCTTCTTCCCAACGCCTCTGTACTTTATCCTGTGTTAGAGACCCATGATGACTTCATTATCCCCTAAGAGAGGGGCAACATTGCCAGTGAGGACCTCTCTGATACATCCTTTTCACAGCAATGGCAGAGGGCATCATGGAGAGCTCCTACCTCTACGTACAGAGGGATGCGAGCTGTATGCTGTTCTGCCCCTCCTTGCACAGAGCTCAAAAAGCGGAACACAACTTGCATTAACTGTTCTCTCTACAGTTCTAATTACGCTCTCTTGCTTAGATTACAACTAGCCTAGAAACAGCTCACCGTTGGTTCCAATCTAAGTTTGACAGCCTGCAGCTAGAAGTGAAAATCCACCAGCCAAAGAACCTTGAAGAGAGCAGCTCCAAAAAGGAGGTAAAGCAAGCAAGCACATTCATTTCAAAGGGGGAAGCAAAGAAAATAGGTGGGGGAAGTATTTGGTAGCTCATTATCAGTCAGAATTTCAGTTTCCTAAACTTTCTTTTGTAGTTCCTTACGCAGGGGTGGAAAACAGACCCCTCTTCTTAGTTTAGTTTCTTTCCTCCTCTTGTGCCAAAGGACATATTTAAGCAGCAAATAATATTACAGGTACAAGATCGCTTCAAGAGACTGTTTCTGTACTTAAAAACATTCTGTTGCACATACTTTGTGTTTTGTTGATGCTCATTAACCACATGCTTGTCTGAAAGCTAACAGCTGGTATATTTTCTTCTCTGCATTCACCTCTGTTTCAGTGTTCTCCTTCCCTTCCTCCACACCTTTTACAGATACCTTTCAAAAGCCACGCTTACCTTGTTGTTGTAGATTCATCAGCCTTCTCCATAATTGATAGTTCTTATATAGCTGTGTAATTACCTCATTAGAGATGTATGTAGGAAACTGCTAAAACTTTAATCTCTTCTTTAGTAATGCCAAAGATTCCCCAGCCAGTCATCAGCTTCATGAAACGTTGCATCTTTTCCCAGAAGAAGAAGCAAGAAGAGCTTCCCCCTTGCAGCACTCCCTGGACAGCAGGGCAAGGACCCAGTGCCTCCAGCTCACCTTCAGGAAGGCCCACGTGAGCTGGGCAGGAAATGAGCTCACTTAACTGGGTGATTCCCAGCCCAGGGAGAGCATCACCTGCTGCCAGGAGACTCCCTGCTAGCACCCAGGTGCTGGAAGAATCAGGATCTTTACTTGATTTGACAAAGTTAGATAGGTCTGTGTCACTGAGAAGGCCTTGCAAATAAAGGGTGCTCACAGGGCACCCATATATAGGAGACCTAGAAATGCTTGTTTAAATTATAAACTCTGATTTGAATCAACTCATACCTCTCACCTTGTCTCTTTGACTCAGGTGCATTGTATTGTGAGGTTGATATTGACAAAACTACTATTTATAGCAAAACAATTATTCTTTGTTCATCATTACTGTAAACTATATGCTGTTGATATGCTACATCTTTGCTCTTTTCTTTTACGAGCTTTAGACTGAGGCCTGGCAGGTGCTATTGAAACAAATCCCAGACTGGTTTACACTCTGCAAACAGTTTGGTTCAGCCGAATTACTGAAGACCAAGTCATGTGTCTGTGGCTGGATGCTGACGTGACTGGGACAGGGAGGGACTGGCAGGACTGGCTGCTTCTAATGGTAGATGATAATTCTAGTGGTCACGAGAGAACATAAGCCTTGGGCTGTTTTAGGATCGTATAAGGAATTCGTTAGGTATGCGATGTTACACCACACATCATCTTACCTTCCTAAGAATTAGTGGAATTTGTTCAACCTACCCTACTCCGGAACAACACACTGGGGAATGAGGAGTTGAAGCAGATGACTTGTGTCATAGTATGTTGAAGATTATTACAACGTGGGCAGTTTTCATGCTTGTTTGACTAAGGATCAGCTCATCTTCGTCACAGCTTGCTCTTCCACGTGGTTTCAATACAGCCTAGCTTCAGTACAGGTGGTGGTGTGCTCTGATCTGCTTCAACGAGCTATTTGCAAACTCTGCTGTGATCAATGGTACTATTTATTTCTGTGGGATCTATACATGCTATTTGCAATACTTGTTTAGTTTAGTGGGTAGGGAAGTCTTGCGTACCTCTGGAACCTAAGAGTAGCCTGAGAACACACTGGAATTACCTCATGCTGCTCCTTCAGAAATTTGTCCTAAACTATAACTTACGTGATGGGACTCCAGACTAATTCAGGGTGACCTGAGCTTCTCTTCCTTGAAGCAAATGGCTGCTCTAAGGAACAAGGGGTGGCTGAGCACACTATTAAAGCTACTGCACACCTGAGCTTCATTAAATTGTGCTTCTTAAGAGAAGACCTGTGCAATATGGCTTTAGGCTTGTCCCAGCCAAGCTGGTTCTTTCAGAACTCAATGGGTATCTGTGCCACGCCTGCTCCCTAAAGCTGCTTAGGTGGCTTAGCATAAGCTGTGCCTCCCTACCTCCACGGTACCCTCCGGTGAACAGCAGTCAAAACTGTAATCTAGTTTTGCTTGCTATGAACTCGCACTGTAGGGTAATTACAGCTGAACAACAGTCTTCTCAAATAGCACTTACCATTTCAGGCTTTTGTTTATATCGAATGCTTAAGTAGGTTGCCTAACAAGGGACAAATGACTGTGACCTTTGCCTGTGCAAAAGGACAAAGCATACGGCAGCTGTGTTTGTAGGAGCTGCACATTGGCAGGGCAACAGCACCAACCACCCCTCTGTTTTCCTTCTGTGGGAGGTTTTTTTGGTTTGTTTTTTTTTTTACCAACATAGGGTGTACCTCAAAGGCTGGTTCTCCACCCCTTGGGAAGCTTTCAGAGCAGAGTTCTGACCCAGAGCAGGGTTCCAGAAGCCCCTGCTCTCTAGGGCCATGCATCTCCAGTTACTTTGTATATTGAATGCAAGGGCTGATTATATGGCCGAGGCTATTACACTTGGTACTCACATTTGCATAGTGACAGTCTGTTCCAGGTTCAACACATCCTGTTGCTTCTTCTAAACCTGTTTGGGGCTTTAGGTTGGAAAGCAGTAAGACACACTGCAATTGTGAAGGTTTACTGTGTCCCAGTACCTTTTAACTTTAGCACTGCCTTAAGTTTTGGCTATGCCTGCTTTAGCAAGTGATACAGCTCAGTGGGTCACTTGCAGAATGAACAAGCTTGTCCAGATGTCCAGGGTTGGGTTTTTTTTCTTTTACTTCTTTTACTGATCCTGCTGACTGAATGCTCACGAGCAGCTGGAGCACTTCTCGACGCCATCTTCTAACTGGCTTTCATTTGAAAGCAAACTAGTTTGCCTGCTCAGAACCACAGCATAGCAAGTGGCAGCTCACCCATTTGAAACACCAGAAGTATACCATAGACAAGAACTTGTTATTTTCTTTAAATGTAGTAATTTCAGTAACATTGTAGTAACCTAACTTTGCTGCCACCTGCAGGTTCAATAATTGAGGTCTGTGTCGCTAGCCTTTCCCTGGGCTTGATAGCTGCTAAGCCTCTCTTAGTTGTAGTAGTATTTAACAGTGAATTTTCTAAGCAGCAAAAAGGTTGGTTGGTTTTTTTTTTTCTCCTGTCAATCTGTGGCCTTCAGCGAATGTGGATGGCAAACAGCTTTCTACGCTTGTCAGTGCTGGTGTCAGGTAAGCACAACTGAAAAGGAACAATTCAGTTTTTAAGGCAATCAGTAGATACTTTTATGAGCAGCCTTTAAGTATGCCTTGAGATAGTGTTTTATATAGAATAGCTCTTCAGCAATAAACAGCTAACAAAATCATCATGGTTAAACCAAGTAGATGATTGACAATGTATGTAGTGTGTTCAACTGAAACTGTTACGAATTCCCTTAGTGAGGCTTGAGGAATATTCCCAACATGCTGATGGGTGAGGCTGGCATTGATTTAAGTATTCTTTACCTCTTAGTCCCTTGGTCTGAGTGATTTATGAAAGCTTTCCCAAAATTGCAACAGCTGGATTTCAACCTTTTCCTGCCTCGGTGTTTGTTCCCACACATTCAAGGCCAGGTTGGGCAGGGCTCTGAGCAACCTGATCCAGTTGTAGATGTCCCTGCCCATTGCAGGGCAGTTGGATTAGATGACTTTTAAAAGTCCCTTCCAGCCCAAACCGTTCTAGGATTCTGTGATTTTATATTTCAGTAGAATAGTCCTTACTGTGAAGGAGCATTAGGAAAGGTGCTGGGTTCATCTCCCCCAGTGTTAATGTTCTTGTGAGCATCCTTAAACACGCTACAGCCAGGTTAAGTCTAAACATGAACATACAGGCCAAAATAAATCCCATACAGATGCACATACCCCAAGAAATATTTGTGCTTCAAACTCACAGTCCGCTGTGTATTCTCTATCCCTAACATAAAGTACAATGACAAAATGTGCAGTACATGTTCACAATTTCATTTTTTTGAAAAAGAATTCCAAAGTAAAGGCACTTTGTTAGCAGTATTGAGAGTGGAATGTGCTTTAAAACTTACCCAGTTCTGTACTGGACAGTACTGCTGCGGCTATATACCTAAAGCCTAGATTAGCACATGTATTTTCTGTACATGGCTCATGTTCTGTGCTTTGCTTAAGCAGGTCAGTTCTATGTGGGCTGCGCCTGTCTAAACTTTTTATTGGGGAGATCACATTCCTACCACATCTGTTCTGTCTTTTGCTTTGTCTGAAGTCTTGTCTAATCTGTTACTGCTGCACCATTACAATATAACATATTTATAATCTTGTGTAAAACAGAAATTAAGTAAAAGACTGTTTCTGTTATAACCATAAATGTGTGTTGGATATAGCTAAGAAGAAAATTTAGGTTCTATCTTCATATATAGTTTTTTTCCACAAGCATTTGAGAAAGCTTTAGATAACTGGCATCGAAACAAGTAGTCTCTCTTCCTTCCAGATGCTCAGAATTGTTTAGAACAGCCTTTCAGAACACTATTTGCTAGCAGTGTGAATTTTCCCATCCATAGTGACTGGGTTTAAACGCAAGTTTCTGTTATTTAGTGCTTAAAAACAATTTAGAAAGCAGCATCTAAAGTCATCAGCATTCAGATTGTATTTTTCCTTTTTATTTGTAGGAATGCTAAAGATTCATACCTCCTAGGTTTAAAAACTAAACTACTTCAGAATTCTAGCAGTCAAAGGGATCGGAAATAAAGCAATTGATAGTAATGCCTTGATGTTGGTCAATTTTTAAGACAACTCTTAAAAAACCCCCACAGCCTTCCTCTATGTCAAGTCTGTTTAGAAAAAAAAAACGTACAAGCAATAAGATTCTGAGTATTTCAAACTCAGTTTTGGAAAAGAATAATGCAAAGGGAGTCTGTATACTGCATCTCTGGCTTCTGTTTTCTAAGCATGCAGGGCTCGCTGAGGGCTGTATTTCCTGGGACATGATAAAACCTTTTTTGTATGAAGGGACAGGAGTCATTCGCTGCAAGAAGGAAAAAAATCGGTGGGGTTACACGATGTGAAAATGACAATAAAGAATAAGGAAAGCTTCAACAGAAGAATTTTTACCCCAAGATGATGCAATAATACTACTCTCATACATATGTTGTGAGCCCACTCCAGTTCACACAGCAGAGAGCTGGCTATCGTGTCAAAAAAGCTGATGGGGTATCACAAAGAATGAGAAACGAAATGGAGGTAAGGAAGGGAGTCATGCGCTCCCTTCTTCTGCAGCTTATGAATACTCCAGGCTAACGTAACTAAAACGTTTATTTAATTTATAACTCTGCAGACTTGGCACGGGACTTGTATTTAGGCAGTGCTGCCAAGTACTATTTCCATTTAAATGGTGCTGTCCTTTTGCAAGTTAGTGAGACTTTCTTGGGATTTGTCTCCTACCTCTGTATTCCCACTATGGGCCAGCATCTCTCTAATGAAGTGGAAATGCAGTATATTGTAATTTAATGCAATTTGAGATAAAATTGCCTTACCTTTAAATTTAGTCTAGGCAATTCCGCAAGACTTGTTTCTTAATCATTGATTGCAATTGTGTGAAAAGATTACGGAACACAAATACATATATAAGTGGGCTGAAAGCAAACAGTAGTAGTTAGCTGGGATACCGTAAGTAAAAAGAGTGCTTGGGAGGCAACACCATGGCTTGTTTTCTATTCAGCAAGCCACCTGGCTGAAAAACACTTTTCAGCCTTATTTTGCTGTAGCGCATAACATCGTATATCCGTTTCTATATATACACATATAACTATATACTCTTTTTATTTAGGATAAGGCATTGCATCCTGCTCTCTTCTTGGGTCAGAAGCAGCATGTTTCCACCATCGTATGCTACTGTTCAACTGCCAAAAATAATTAAAACCCCTGGCCCACTTGCAATGTATGTTAAATAATAAGCTGTATGATGTTATATTAATTTTTGCTATAAGCTATTCAGAAGGATATATGTTTGCTGAGAATGAGTAAACATTATCATTAACCTCAGTTTTTTTTTATTAACAAGTTCAGAAGAAGAACAAAGGTCACACTGATTTCAATAAAACAGAAATCAATCATCTCCTTCAAATGGAAACAGCTGCCAGGAATATGAACTCCTAGAAAATTCTGAATACTTTAAAGATCTTGAAATACTGAGTTCTCCATCCTCTAAGGAGAAGTATGAGCCTATTTCTGCTATATTATAGTAATTTAATGCTGCACATGAAAAAAAGCCTTATCACCAGTGGATACGGCTTCTTGAACAGCATTACAATATTGCACATTGTAAATTTTCCCTAACCCCCCCCCCAATAAATGGCTCTGGGCTTCAGTTTTCACTGTCTGATTCTATATACAAGACTGAGTATCGGATCGCAGAGCAGTGCACCAGAGGAGAAGAGCTAACAGCAGACACACTTGAGCATGTCAGTGTTGCGCTCGGCACAGTTTCCATCCATATGCGATACAGTTCAGACGGCAGAAGTAGAAAAAGTCCATAAAGCTATATACAGCACAAGCCGTCTCTCTGACCATCTACAGCCAAAGCTGTATGTAAAACCAGTTTCCCCCGCACTGCATAATGCAGAGGTTAATACAGAGAGTAGCGATTCCACCTGCCACAAACCTCATCATACAACTGCGTAGGTATACAACATCTTTTGAGCCATTCTCGTATTTCCACTGCTCTGATAAATAAGTGACAAGTTAAAGGCAGTATCTCTTCTCAAGTCTGTCTGATCAGTTTCTATTCCCTGTAAAAATAATGATTAAAAAAAGTTACCTAGATGCAAAAATAGTATAAACCTTGAAATGTGAATAGCAACTACAGTGGAATCAAATCACCTATTCATGGTTCATATAGGGTTTCAGCTGTAAAGGAACAAAAGAAGTCGTATTGCTTGTGCCCTCCCTCTTCAACAAGTTCCCACATGTTGTTAATCACCAAAGTGTTATATAATCACATACTCGAAACATTAGCTGTAAATTAGCTAGCCGGCTCATAAAACAGGAGAGTACCATCTTAACTTGTCTTTGTATGCAAAGCATTGGTTTCTACAACCAGAACTTGAATACTGCCGGTATCTCGGACACAGTCACAAGACTGCTGCTTTGAACTCCCAGCCCTAGCTAACACCCATGTTTCTTAGTTTAGCAGCCCCTCCCATTTTCTAAATATGCTTGTACTTTTTCTACCTGTCCATGCCAAAGCTGGGCAAAAAAAACTTTCTTTCAGACAAGATTGGTAAATGTATGACACATCAATTAGGCTGCTCTAATACAGATCAGTTAGAGCAAAACCATGGCTCAAATGCATTTAGGCATTCTTAATACTGGTTTGTATTCCTCCAGCACGCTGTTTTATAGCGTAGGTAAGTCTATAGAACTTCCAGTTATAATTTATTGCATGTAACATATATATAAAATTCAGCTACATACTCAGGTAAAGTTGTTTAGCAACCCTTTTTGCTGCTACTTCAGCCTATTAGTAAATCCTTCAAAATTCATAAACCTTTGAAATTAACACGTGCTTAAATACGTTGCCAGGTGACAATCAGATTTGGGCATCCAATGACAAGGAATTGCAATACAGATTAAAGGAACCTCAGCTACACAGACTTTATGTACCTATATTTTAACAATGGCCGAGAAATTACTAACATTGACCCGACTTTATTCTCTGTCCATAACTTACAAAGATACAGTACCTCTAAGGCGAGAGGAGGAAGTTCAAGTACTTTTTGGTAATAGTGGATTGCCAGGTGCAATAACCCCAGCTGGTGAAGGCCACGGCCAAGGTTGTAGAAAGACTCTTGACATGGTCCACGCAGGTCCAAGTACCGGTGAAGGAAGGAGAATCCCTGTACACATATTATGCACATTTGTGAATGCTCCGGCAGTAAAATACGCTGGAGAACAGGTGTTTAAATGTAGCTATCTAAACTTCTAATCTATGCTTCCCCACAAAACCACACGCAAGCTAAAGGCAAAAAATAAGTCACGGTCGATTGCTGAGACCATAAAAAGTGTGCTCTGTCAGTCTCGCTGCCTCTGCTAACAATGGGTAGATCTTTTAAATAAAGGTAACATGCAGTTATTTCGGCACTAGCTTGCTAAATATGTACGTATGTGTTTACGTAATATACACACAGATAAGCCTGGTTCATGTTCAGAACTGTTGACCTCCTTAAAAAACATGCAGCCAAAGGCCAGGCTAGAGGAAGATCTTACTTTTCATAGAAAAAAAAAAAAAGCAAACGTTTAAAAGATAACCCTCCCCCACTTTTTTTTTTTTTTTAAGGATAAAAAAAACTCCAACCCAAACCTTCATTCCCTTTCCTTCACTCTTTGTCTTGGAGAGCAGCAAGAATTGGCTTAATTCTACAACTTTTCAGAATTCTGCAAAATTCTGAACTCCCTGTAGTACATATCAAAGTATTATTTCTGGAATGCAAGCATATTTTTTTCTTGATCCTGTGCTCCATATAAATGTTGGAGTAAACCAGTTACACCAGTTATCAGGGAAATTATCAGTATATAATTTTATAAAGTGGCCAAAAATAAATATCACTGAATAAGGGCATGAAAAATCCATATATCCTAAGCAGCAGGTGAGAGTTCATGTCCCTTCTTGAAGCCAGCAGATGTTTTACTGCCAAGTCTCCAGCAGAATTTGAAAGGAAACTCATACCCAGCAATTCCAGTGCTATGCTTTAACAAATTTGAAGTCGAAGCACTCTGGGTTATACTTTCTTGTTTTCCTTTTAGTCTAAAATTAAAATACATGCTTATATACTGAAGCTGTATGACCAGCAGAATCCCAGGTGTACATAATTTCATTGCCAACCTCAAGGTTTGGATGGCGCTATAAAGATGAATGGTGTTAGCCCAGAGCTACTTCCCATACAGAACAAAGGG